GGATTCATCAGCAATTAGATATAATAGGGTTTCAAAACTGTGAGGCTAGATGGGAGAAGCAATGTGCATAGTAATAAAAAAAAATGTGACCAGAGGGCCATATCTACAGACACACCAAGGAACAGTCGTAGAGATGATCAGAGAGATCACCTGGAAATTGGAAGACAACCCAAGAAGACTAAGTGCTGAGCAAGTGAGGGGAAGGGTTTCAGGAAAAGAATAACCAAGTGTTATGATAGCACATTGGAATATGGATTCACCAACATGGTTACTATTTGTGATTTAACAGAAATAGTTTTGGGGGAAAAGTTAGGCTAAGGATTTAGGAGAGGAGAATGAAAGAGTTCAAAAAGCAGAAACAGGCAGCTCTTTTTAAAAGTACTATTGTGTGGTAAAATACACACTATTTTTTTTTTCTGTAAAAGGAAAATAGTTAAAACTTTGTGTTTGTTTTCTTAAAAAAAAATAACAAATTATTTTGTGGTCATTACGGAGGATGGTTAATTGGAGGGTTAGCCAAAAGTAGGTTTTGATGTACTTTGCAAACATTAGCTAGCTGCTAAAAGTTTCTTTTACTTCTCTTGAAAAGAAATAAAAGAGATGTTTACTGGAAAGAAGTGATTACATGTAAAAAGTTATGTTCATTTATTTATTTTAGAGGGGAAGTAACAATAATGATGGTTGATTGATTTTTATAAAATTACCCAGGGTCACTTGTGGGACGTAGTCAGCTTTCATGAAACTCATAACAAGCAATTTAAGGGTCAAAGCCAAAGGCTGATTTTAGCCCTGCTCTTTATTTGAGCTTTCAGAAATGGGGCCAAGATCTATAAAGTGGAGAAATAAAATCCACTGATTGTCCTCCTGTATTCAAGTTACTGTCCTGTGCAGCAGCCCATGCATAGTTATTTTAAATTAATAAAGTATGAGGATAAAAATCTTGGGGCCTTTGCACAGAGATAGATGAAAGATTCTACAATATTTTCTTATTTTTTTTTTTTTTACTTTTGTTATCACTTAACATTTCAGGCAAAAATAGCAGAATTCCTCATCAGATTCTTTTAATGTACCTGGATTTATGTATATTGTCTCCTGATATAGTGAAGAGAGGATGCATATCAGCAGTTGTTCATGATGACCATATTATCAGTCCTGTTTATAGCACCCTTGACAACATAAGTCATTCATTTTTCCTGGGTCCAACTTCTCTTCCTTCATTAGCATCACTATTAGTTCCTGTCAGTAAATGATGTGTCCAAATTTCTACCAATTTGTCTCAGTGTATTTAATATTTTGCTTAATGGTACAAAGGGCAAAACCCAGGTTTAAATATTTACACACTAATCCTTGTAATCTGCTTCAAATCCTTTCTGGAATGAGGCGAGGTATATCTCCATTAGCAAAATTAAAATAAACCATACATAAACAAGCCATAGGCAAGCTTACTAAGGTTAACACATGTTTTTCCTTAAATGTAACTATGAAAACAACCCTAATTAATGAGAAAGCTACCAGGAAGGGCTTGTGGAAATGGATAAAACCTGTGCTTTTCGGTCAGGTGGCCTGGGTTCCAAGGCCCAGCTCTTCCTCTCCTGGACAGGAAAAAGTATGAGCTGCTCTGTGCTCAGGTTCTGCTCCATGAAATATAGAGTAGGATGCTGACCTCATAGGCTGGGTTCTCAGGTCATTTGAGACAAACTATCTGAAGATTTGCCTAAAGAATACAAATGCCCTAATTTTCCCTGTCATCTTATTTAAATTTTTGACCACATATATATCTTTAAGTAGAATTCTAAGTGCATTGTAGCACAGTTGGTGTCAGCAGAACATAAGGCTTCTATTTCCACTAATGTTCCATGCATTAGGGATGTAGACCGCAGATGTCCCCGAGTTGGAGTGCTATGCAAATCTATGGTCCACCAGTTGAACATGATTAGTTAGGATGCTAATGGAATGGGTCAGTGTGTGAAAGTTTTTGTAAACATAAATTCGTGAACTGCAGCACATGTTTTTCTTGTTCACAGTGGGATTCACTTTACTACTTTATTTATAGGAGCAATGACAATGGAAGGGAAGATTAAAGTCAAAATTTCTAGTTAGTTTTGGAAGTCTGGTAAGGAGAGTGCTATTGCTGTGGTATCGAGTCTATAGCTTGCCAGAGCAGAGTTCCTTGTTTCTTAGATACTGCTTTAGTGTACAATTTAAATGACATGGTTGAAAAGAAAGTCAGGACCAGCAACAGTGGGATGTTGGAAGATGATCTAGTAGTGTTAATGTGATGGGCAAATGTAGCAAGTTAGCAGACCCTGGTGATGGTGAGGTAACTACAGATGCTAAGTGTGATAGCAGCAAATATCATTGCAGTATCTCTGTTAGGCATCAGACCTAGACCAGTAAAATATAAGCATTATTTTAATTAATGTCACCACAGTTCTCTGAGCAAGGAGCTCTTATCAGGAACATTTTGCAGAGGGGGAAAAGTGGATATAAATGAGGTATATCATTATAATTAGGGTTTAATGGAATCATATAGGATCTAGACCAAGTAAATATCTGGTGACTATTATTTATGGTATGTAGTGTAGGTACTAGGAAGACTAGAAGGCCTGATGAAGACAACTGAGGAATGCTGCAGAGAAATTTTAGAACAGAAGATCAGGGAGGAAGTAGTCTCCACACTTGACTACTGGTCAAGCATTTATTGATTACTGTCTTTGCATTATAATGGGGGTAACAAAAACTACTAAAGACTCTTTTCCTTCTTTCCATCTCACTCCTCCAGTACATGTATGACGACTTCCAGGTGTTGGTTTTGGAAAGCAATAACAATTCCAATCAATTATTTGGCATTCTAGATGTATGGCTAAATTTAGCAGGTGAGGAGCTGACCATCAGATTCTCTAAAAGAAACACAACCATGTATTCATTTAATCAACAATTCCATGTTGAGTACCAACTACCAACCAGTTTCTATTCTAGATACAAGGAATGCAGAAGAAAACAAATCATTCTTCATGAAACAGGCATTCTTTTGACATTATTGACAAAATATGCATATAAATATGTAATGTATCTCTGATAAAATGTTATAGAAAAATATATTTCATAAGAGGCTAGGAAATGCTGTTTATATACACCAAAAAGGAAAGGCCTCAATGAGTTCACTTTTATATAGAAAAAAGGGGGAGAAAGACACATGAATATTGGACAAAAATGCATTCTAAGTAGAGGAAGAACACATTACAGGTTTTGAGGCTTGCTTGGAAAAAGGCAGGTCAGTGTGTTTGGGGTAGGTCTTAATCAACTTTATAAAAACTGAGATAGTTTATTTTATAGAACAAAGTTTATTTTAGCTCACAGTTTTGGAGGCTGAGAAGTGCAAACAGCATGATACAGGCCTGTGTGAGCAATCACACTCCCACCAACATGCACACAGTAGGCTGCTTTTTGTCTCTGTAGGGTAGAGTCTTGTGCATTTTTTTAGCATGATCTATCTTCCTGTCCTGAAAATGCAACCCCAAAGTTCCATCTCTAAACATGTAATTGGATTAAGTTTCTACTCTCTTAATATGATTGACATAAAACTTCATGAAATAAACTTCTCTGTGAGTTTTAGGGGGACAAACTTATGCAAACGATAACAGAGCCAGTGAGTAAGAGGCTAAGTCTTAAAAGGTGAACTTATTACAGGTTGTCTGATATGTTAGAGATGGGTAGCGACTCATGAGTGACCTCTTATAGCTCAGTATAAAGATTTTGACTTTTTTTTTATGAGGAAATGGAAACTAGTCCAGGGTTTGGAAAAAATCACCTCTGGAGTTTCCATCACACAGCTGCAAGTCTAACCACTTCGTTACAGACCAGAAGACTGAAAGTGCAGTATTATAGTCAGATGATGGAGACAGATTTAACAGCTCGTCCATGTTACAGGGCTTCTGTGAGAAGCTTTTGACATTATTAAGAACATTCCATGTGAAATATAAATACTCTAAATTTTAAAGAAAGGTATTATAAAGATGAAATTATTCTTTTAACATCTAATTACTCTTACAACATAAAGTAATTTTATTACAGTTATATTCCTGTTGCACAGAAAATTTGAACATTAGAGCAGAATGGTATCTGAATTGATTAAGGGTATTTGGTTATAAATTAGAGAAATCAGCTATTCTTAAAAATAGGAAGTTTATTGAGAAAGTATTGGGTAGCATATGGGATAATGGAAATTAAGTACAGGAATAAATAGAAATCAAGGCATTGAAGATGAGAGAGTTTGGTAGGTGGGGCACTCAGAAGCAGGAACTCTACTTAGGCTTATTTGCCACTGCTAGATGGGAACATTTCCTGTCTTTTTTATGCTTTGGATTCCTTTTGAAGCATTAATATGTGATTCAGGCTATGGTCATATGAGATGTCTTAATTGGCAGTCTGCCTCAGCTCCATTCAATCAAGGAAGAGCCATCCAGGAAATTAGCATCTATTACCAAGACAAAGTATTCTGGATGGTGGCCAGCTAATATGTTGCAAATGCCATGATATCAGCCCTATTTTCTTAGCCCTAATTTTCTAAGGCTTTTCTTTCAATTCTCATAATTCTTATAGTTTGGGCACAATTTTTCTCTGCATATTTCTTGCGTACTTCTTTCTTTATCTTTTTAAACTTAATTTTACAAACTGCCTTAATCTTATGCTAAGTGATAAAGTTAATTGGCTTAGCCTTTTTTTAACCAGCTCTAAACTGCTAGTCATTTATATTATTGTCACAAAAGTACTATAAACAAAGCTATAGTGAATATTAATATCTAACCCAAACAGGTTTCTACCCCTGAGTGTCTTGGAGACCCTCTTGTGCTTCTAGAAAAGTGTGCAAGATAAAATAAGTCTGAATGCTGGAAGACGTATATAAATGAAGGAGATTTCAGACATTGGAATTGTCAAGATGACATCAAAACTGAGAGCTTTATTCTCCTAAAACTGACTGTTTTATCTTTGTCCTTTAGGAGGCAAGCTGATTTTCATGGGTCCAGGACCGGTTGAGCTCAGGGCCCATGCCATCCTTGTTTCTAACGGTGGAGAGCTCCAAATTGGATCAGAGGACAAGCCCTTCCAAGGAAAAGCTCAGATCACACTCTATGGGAGTTCCCACTCCACTTCCTTCTTTCCCTATGGTTTCAAGTTCCTGGCTGTGAGGAATGGAACTCTTTCACTGCATGGTGAGTTTAGCAACTGACCAGAGGAAATGAAATAGGGCTGTGTCTAACAAATTCTCAAGCAATGGCAATTGATAAAACTATTTAAAAACACCTGGCTATTAGTGGCCGAGGGAACAGGTCAATTAGAGCATGACATGATTTCCTTAAAAACAAATAAAATTGTTATGGTTGCTATAGCAGATTATGCTATGGTTCCCAATTATTTGCTCCTCTTCCTGTAAGAAGATTGGCTTTGCTCAGTGTCAGATGCTCAGTCTCCATGCAGGTGGACATACTATGCTGTCCCTCTCAGAGTAGTGAGCTTATCCATGGACTTGTTTTGATTAATGGCATGTGAGCAGAAGTGATCAATTGCATGCACAGTGGAAATTCTGAGTTGTAGTGATGCTTTAGCTAGTTTGTTCTCTCCTTCACTTGAGAATAGCCTATGGCTGCTCAGGGTGGTTCCTTCAATGTGGGAAACTCAATTAAGATCACCTGTGGCAGAGCTGATGCTGGCTGGTTTGTGAGTAAAAAGCTAAAACTTTTTTGTTGTAAGCCAGTGAGGTTTACATTTTTAACTGCAGCATAACCTGGCAAAAATTGATATAATTACTCAGAATACATGAATGCTTTTCTACATGTAATATCTGGCATTACAAACCAAATGTGGACAACTTCACTTTGTGATTATTGGTGAGCCTCTTTTTTCTCCCATCCTATGAACACAATTCAACTACAGTTGGATTCAGAGTCCTCATGCAAATGGGTTGGATGTTTATGAATTACTAGAAGAAAACTGAGATTGGGCTGCTGTGTGTTTCTGCTTCATGTTTATTTGGTTTCTGATCACCTGATTCTGCTTTGTATAATGAATTTTTCCCCTTACATTTCAGGAAATTGCTCTACATGCTAGGGTAATTGTTAGCATCAGCTGGAAAATGTATGAAAAAATATGAATGTTATGTATATTTCAGTGGATACTTGTATACTTTTGGCTGTTTAACATGTACCAAAGACAGAGCAAGTGTGTACTCAAGTGTGAACATGGTGTTTGCCAAGCATTTCTGTATTAGCGTGACAAAATAAAGCCAGCTATTATAGAGTAATTGTTCTAGATATGTGCTAAGGAGACTGACAGTTTTCTCTGTCCAAGTTCTGTCCATAATGAACTGTGAGTCTCAGTCATTGTTTACCAAAATGTGCTCTCTGGGCTTTTTGTTTTATTACAAGACGAAGCAAGATCTTTTCCTCAAGTGTTTAATTAAGTTGGACAATGGAGATCAAAATTTTTAAGGTTAAAAATTCCCAATGACTACTGGGCAGAATATCAAAAGTCTACTATGTAGGCTCTCATTTTCTTCCAAAAAAGTTTGCTATCCTCCTGCCTTGATCAGCCAGACATACACTGATCTTGTAGCCGAGGACCCATGAGCATCTCCTGTTCCTTCACAGCCCTGTGCTCTAGACTGATGTTCACTTACGATGTCAAACTACAATGTTGCTGTTTACCCTACAGAGAAAAAAGTTCTGCAGAACAAAAGGGTGTAGAACAAAAGAGCACAGATCAGACTTTAAGCTGGGCTCTTGATTATCTGAACAACCTGAGAGTCCTCAGATTCAACAGCTACTGCCCTGTACGATGCTTATGGTACAACTCTAGCAGGAGTTGTAGAAATTGGAATTCAAACAAGAAATGAAAACTGTCCTATTACTTTTGCTCTGTCTTTTTAATTCCAACTGCTTCTCATTCTCATGTTTAAGTAATGAGAGATTGGAGAGTACGTACGTATATAGCTATACACCTGTAGTTTAAATAAGCCTTGTCCTTTGTTTTAAGAAAATTCCTAGTGCCATTTTTATAGCCAATAGGCGGCAAGTAAAGCAAAAGGGATGATACATTTTGAGAATTTTGATAGTTAAAAAAGGCTGCTACTCTAGCTGTGGGGGTTGCAAATACTGAAGGAGACCTAGTTTTCTTCCCTTCCCTCATTTCCGTCTTCTCCCTCCTCTCTGCCTTTCCATTTCTTCTTTGCTAGCTTTCTCTCTCCTCTTTCTCTTGTTCCTGTCAACATTCCCCCTGTATTTTCAGACTTGCAAACCACAGCTACTTAACCCATTCCCTAAGTCCTTTCTCACATAGGGGTGACTAGGATCTCACATGACTTGTACATGGAACATAGGCAAAATGAGGCTCTTTCCTCTCTGATAGTGAAGCTGCAGAGTTGTATTCATTTACAAGAGATGCTATGTAGAAGACAGCTTAGCATTAGGGTGAAAGGGGTCCTCTTCCCAATGTATCTGCTGGAGACACATAGGCACCCATGTGGCTCATCAATCCTGCCCCATTCTTCCTCACCACCTGAGGTCTCAAACAGATTTCCCCTCTGGCATGGCGGTATGTCACGCTTAAAATCGTTATGTAATTTTGCTGGCCTTTTCCTAGGGCCAAAGGTGGATCTGATAACACTGAGGTTTTAGAGAAAAACTAATTTTCTTTTGCTGTCAAATACACAAATCTGTGAGTAACTTGATTCAATGTCTTGTATCAGAAAGTCCCTTAAAACCCAACAATTTCTCATTCTCCCAGGATATGGTAGTGTGGAGATTCACCATTTTTGATTCACAAAAGGATCTTCTGGAGAGAGTTTATGAGTATAAATTTCTGAGTCTTACCTTCTGAGTCTAATTCAGTAGCGCTGGGGCAGGCCTGAGAACGGGAGTGTGGGCGGGGTCCTCTAGGATTTTGATTCAGGCAGCCTGCTGGCTGGACTAGGAAACTTGCTAACTTTAGTGGTTGACAGCTGGGGGATCAGAAATCAGTTCAGCTCTGTTGCTTATCAGGACTTTGGGCAAACCGACCTCTAAAACCAGCAAATATATCACCCCTTCATATTCCTGGTTCGCGATGTACTTTACAGTCTCCAGCACAGGGTGATTCAGCTTTTGGTAGTTCTTACAATTTGATCTTATTCTTTCCTAAAACAATTAGAAATCCATTGCCAGTGATCTCATTTTTTTATGGGTGAGGAAGTTTTAAAGTGGGTAAAGGGGGAAGAGGCTTTTTTTTTCTCCAATATTTGTTACAGGGCCCACTTTGCTTAGGGATTTTTCTATTAATTTTCACTCTCCCCCCATTAGTGAGAGAGGCTTTACATTTGGAGATCACGAGGCAGCAACACCCTCAGGCACCTGATATTTGTTTCCAGCAGATATCTTGAGATTTTATCTCTGTGGTACGGCAGCTCCCATCACAGGACAAACTCTGTTCCTGGAAGTAGTTGCAAGAAAGTTCTGAGAAACCACCTTCCTGGGCCCTAGTGTAATCAGAAGCAGGCCACTGTCCCCCAAAAAGGTCCTTTGCAGGCTTGATTCCTGACATTCAGCAGGCAGAGAGCTGATAGTTCTAATCAGGTCATACAGGACCACATGATGGGTCTGTGTGTCAGTGACACCATCCTCCACACCTCCTTTCTTTTTCATGCTTCACTGCCATCCTCTGTAACCCTTCTGCTCTAGCTGATTTTATCATAGATTAAAACCACTAGGCAAACAGCAGACAGGCTTTGTCACTCAACTGTCACAAGGAAAACTGGAGTTCAAAGCATGTGTTATGTCTTTCTTTTCATGCAGAAAAACTCATACATTCATGGATTTATGTATACACACCTACACACGCACACACACACACACACACACACACACACACACACCTGCACCACCATCCCCACTTTCTTTGTCTGGGAGTGCATCTCAACAGGGTGTGTTCTAAACCTCAGGTGGAGTTCAGATTGCTTAGTAAGTCCCATCACCTGCTCCCTATGATATGCTGGTATGACCAAAGTATCTCAGGATTCCTTCTAAGGTGGCCTGGGGTTTGGGTGGATGGGATCAATAAGGAAATTTCATTCTTGCCTTTTGCCTTGGCTACACCACATGCCAATCTAGCTAGCTTCACCAATGTGAACTGAGTGTCAATCACTTGTCACTTTGCAAGGGGGTCGCTGTCAGCTGGGGCAACTTGAATTTTTGACAATGTAATTATGGCTCTTGCTTCCACAGTGGGAGTCTGAGCAGGATGGTGGGGCTTTTATTGATTGTTCAGCAGGGAAATTTATCAATGTCTCTCATTTCATTTCCAGTCCCTCTCTGAGAAATTTGGCTGACAGTTTCATGGGAGAAAAGCAGTCTTGTGGCCTTGACTGGACTTATTTGTCCTTTTCAAGGAACTATAAGATACGGGCATTAAATGTCAATGGAAATTTCTGTATGTGGAGCATGATTAAGGAAAGTAGCAGTGCGATTGCTATGAACATACACATTTAGTGGAAATAAATAAAAAGGACCTAATAAGCAAGTTTACATGTGATTTGTTTTCCTTCCATAAGTACAAAGTGTTTTTCAGTTCCATGCTGTTTACAAGCACTGCATTATGTCATATCACTGCAGTTTCTAAAGAGTGTTGGACTGTGTTTAAGTGTGATTTGGTGTGTGTGGAGTAGGCTGTGTGTAACAGTGTGCTCTGCAAAATTCAAATGGGTCCTGGTGGGGCTTCAGGGATTCTGCAAACAGTGAGGGATTGGGGAGTAGTGTCAAACAACAAAAACTTGAGTTGCTCAACTAATGAATTCATTGCTTTTGTCTTTATTGTATATCTGACTTCAAAATAACATTTTATTTGAAAAAAGTAACAGTTTCACTGTTAAGTTTGTGATCAGAAGCAGGCTGTAACCCAACTTTCCACAAGTGTATAAGGTTCTTTAGTGGAGTCCAGAGCCTTCTTGTACATGATTTCTTAGTTGCCCAAGACTGATCAAACTCAGACATTTCCTACAGAGCCTGTCCTCTGATATAAGATGAAAGTTTCTAGCACCCGTTTTCATTTCATAGCAGTTCCTCTCTATCAACAACATACCTTTTAGATCTCCGTTCTTTCGTCATGTGATCCATCATTTGTAGGCTGGGCTCCTGTCTACCCATCACATCTCCTTTTGTCTTTTCTCTTTACCTGTTTCTTCTTG